TTTGGCCCAAGAGTTTGTTTTGGCCCAAAGAAAGCGGCAGCTCAGCTCGGCTCAGCTGCTCTGTGTTCAAGTAAAAGTGTGAAAAGGTTGGCCCAATGGGCTTGGTTCAAGAACTGGCTCAAGGCCCCAGACCAACCCATTTCCCACTCCACTCTCATCCCACCAATCCTTACAATCTTGCCACCAAGCAGCGCTCCAGGAGCCAAGCTGCTGCCACCAGCAGCACGGCCACCAGCGGCCGAGGGGCAGGGCTAGGGGATGTGGGGGACCGTGAGGCAGGGAAGAAGGAGAGGAACCACTCCCAAAACTCAACCCCAAATCAAACAGAACTGACCCCAGATCAAGTGGAATTCCATATGTGTGTATCATTTGTCAAACTCGGATTCCCAATGGATCAAGAACCCATTTTTGACACTTGTCTGCCTTGCCTTCTGTCTGCACCAGCACCTGTCATGCTTGCAAAACACGATAAGCTTGGCGGATGAAAGCTTTGAATTCGACATTGATTGGGTCTAGATGGATACTCAATTTCATTCAAGTTGGCTCGGCAGATGGTTGTCTGACACCTTTTTCGCACCTTCTTGGCCGTATCTACTTCTTGGCCGTCTTGGCCTTCATTGTCTTCTTCGCCTTCATTGCGTTCGTCTCCTTCATGGCCTTCATCGCCTTCATGGCCTTCATGGCCTTCTTCCCCTCCGGTTCCACCGGCATCTTTTTTATTTCAACTTTCGGCTGGATCTTCAGGCCCTGGATCTGCTGGCCCTTGTTCTCAAAGTCCCTCGTCCAGATTTCCGTCACTTCGTCCCCCTCCCATCTCAAATGTTGGAGCCTGAGCGGTTTTGGCATGGCCATCGGGCCTGGAAACACGTGCTGCTCAAAATTTGAACCGAGGCACTTGTAGCCGCCTGCAACATGTGTCTTCCACTTGTGCTCATACCGCTCAGAAGTGGTGGAATGGCGCACCATTGCTCAGAAGTGGTGATGGATGGTGAAGGTCTTATGGCTGATTGAAAGAGCTAAGACCGCTGCAGATATAGTAAGCCAATCACAAATCCAGGTGCATTCGCTCATATCATAAACTTCAGAACTTCCAAACGCGCCGGGTGCACTTCGAAGATATTGAAGTGCGAAAAGACAAGCGTCCATTCCTTGGAAATGAGCTCCATCAAGAATCCTACGCTGAATCCGGAATTTGAATATGAATGTGACAAGGAGTGACTGTGAATCTGAACAGGAAGAGAAACCGAATCTGAGTGTCAGTCTGACTAGAATAAAGGATTGAGTCATGAGTTGATGTGAAGATGCAACTGTCACTCTGAGGGTAGAACCCAACCTGGCTGGCAACGGCAATAAGAAAAGCTACGGTAAGTGATAGGTCATTGAAGTGCTCTGCAACATCCAAACATGCCAGATGTACGGCCCAAGCATTGAGCTTGAAGTTGATGGCACGAATTTGGACCACCCTCCCATCCTCCCACCTTCCCACCAGCAGATCCAGGATCTTCCAAGGCTCCGCCCCGCAGGTTCAGCAGGTTCAACCCCCCAACACCTTTTATGTAAAACCTCCGATTATACTGCAAGTTTTTGGAGGACAACCTGCAGGTCACATCCAGATACTTGATAAACTCAAGTATCGGACGCTTTTTTCTTTGCAGAGATGTGATATGTGACATTTAGTAATAATACATCATGTTACCAACCCTAGAGTGATTCTAGACATCCTGACATATTATAAGGACACTTCAGTTGTTCTTGGATGTTGTGTTTTGGGGTGTTGGGCACCTTACCCCCCCTCCCCCCCGCCCTAGACCATCTTTTAATTCATAATGCAGCATTCAGACTCAACCGTTCAAAATAGTCAGTTACATGAATCACTTATTACCTTCAAATTTAGATTATCTGTCCAAAGCATATTCTCCAAGAGAGACTCGCTTATACATACATGATGCCATTCAGACTTGACGGTCCACAAGACTCACTTAATTTCTTTAATGTGTCCTCAAGTTCAGACTCAACTGTTTAATAATATTATGAATCATAAGTTAAGAAATCTTCTTCTTCCTCCCCTTCTGCTTTAGCATCCAAATCAAAGGTGAATAGGAAAACTGAGAGCATCTTCATCTTTTTCCTCCCCCTCTTCTTTAGTATCAATATCATTAGCGTCAGAAACAAGAAAACTGAGAGTCAAAAAAAAGTGAGAGTCATTTTTGCAAGCCCCTCTGATAATATTGATTGGCGGAGCTATAGTCGTCCTGAAGTAAAGATGAGGAGTCGAACTGAATGGTGTCCATAACTTCTGACTTGTTGCTGCTGCTGTTGTTGGTTGCTTTTTGCAGCAGTTTTGTTCTGACTTGCATGTACAGCATGTACTGTGTGCTTTGTACGCTCCCACCCTGGTGTAGATGAAGTATGGGGATGTTTCAGAGCTACACTGCATCAGGCTATCACTACAAACCCCCAGTCACACTGTGTTATCTCCTGTGATGAGTTGGGGTGGAAAAAGAAAACCATTTTGACAGGTGTCCTTGGCGTAAGGGACGGCGTCACTTGACTTGCGAATGGGTTGGAAGTTGGAACCTGCGGTGATTTCACTCACATCTTTCACACCCCAAACGACGCCTAACCCACGGAACCCGCGGCTGCGTCTCTCGCTCTAAGGAACTGGATGTCCGGTCCCAATGGGATGAAACCCCACTGATCATGGCGGCCAAAGCACAGAAGAGTTTGCCCACCTGCGATTTCCTCGTGAGCGAAGGAGCTGACATGCAGGCGGGACGGTGCGGAAAGGCGGACCTCTCCGGAGATCTTCGTCCCTTCCGACTGTTCAATAAGAGTTAAGGTCCTATAAGATGTCATAAGATGTTTGTCCTTAAGGAGATCTTAAGTTTTTTCTTAAGGAGATCTTCCAATCTTATAACATGTGTGTCCCTAAGAACTGTGCTGTTTTTGATTTGTATTTAATGAAGCGCAAAATCAGTCTGCACCTTTGGAAGATCCATACACTGGAATCGAAGAAGTCCCACGGTGTGGGTGTTTTCCCCCCTGGTAGATCACCTGCAGGTCACCTGGTTGAGGAATTTGGGGCAACTGGAGGTTTCTCACGTGGTGGCAAGCTTGGTTCACCTCAATGTCCAGGGATTCTGTGGCTCGTTACCGTGGCTCGTCCGTTTGGCCTCCCGAGGCCAAGACCAACGACCGCACTGGAGCGAGGCGACGAAGACGAACGCGGTTTCCCCGCGGAGCGTCCAGCGACGCGGAGCCGGGGAAAGCGGTGCCGGTTCAGATGGAACACCCAAGCATTGGGGGCCAGGGTCATTGGACACGCGCCTGAAGGCGCGGGTCATTGGGGGGGCCCAGGAAGCACACGTGCGAAGGAATCCTTTAAACATAGGCAAAGTATTGGTCGCTCCATTGTGGGGGGGGAAGCACCACCTGCCGGCCGGTCAGTTCTTCCTTACAAGTTCTTACAAGAGAATTTATGATTTTGGAAAGAATGTGATAGTGCACTCAGGGGGTGATGGATATTACATGGATATGGTCATCTCCCAAGAACCCATTCGCACGCAGTTGTTCTGAACAGTGGCGACCTACTATCTCCTCGTTCAATGGTGCTTTTGCTGTGACTTATACAACCGAGTCAGACAACAATCCGACAGGGAAGATGAACATCAATTGGAGTCAATTTAGGGAGAAAGGATAATACTACTATTGCAGCAAGAAATGTGATCCCTGATCCATGGTACGTCCGAACAAATACACATTTTAATATAATATTTAATATTATATATGTGTACACATATATACAGAAATGAGCGCTCCCCTCTCTATATATATAACATATATTGTGTGTTGACGTCGGGTTCATTAATGGTGAGGTGTTTGCCATTTGTTCTTTTTTGTGCTTGTGAGGACAGCCAAGGAGTACCTGGATGAAAGCTGACGTTTGCAGAAAGAATATTTTTATTTTGTGAAAGTGAATCGTTTATTTAGGTGTTATGTTCCCCACACATTTCCTGGGACTAGAATATATACGTATTATATTGACCCCAGGTCAAGATTCGAGAGTTTGATTTTTGTTTCATTTCCCTGGTGGCGCTTTGTGCAACTTCTGTTCTATCGTCTCTGAATAGTTTCTAAATAGCGAGAGGCTGTGTGAAACTCTGCCCACAACAGAAGGAACAAGGCCGAAGAATTACTACTATATATACACTACTCTTTGCAGACCATTACAGCAAAAGGGTTTGATAGAACTGAAATATCATACTCCACTGTTTCATCCACCAGTTGGATACCGAAAAGAAAACAGCAGAGAACACGGTAACAAAACACTGAGGAATACTTGAAAGCCCTGGGCGTCTCGGTCAACTGTGGCCTTGGAAGCTCATGAAACAGCTGGACACATGAGGACACAAAAGCCCCGTTTTCGACGGGCGGGAAACCAGCGATCAAGTGATTCGGGGCGATTCGGGGCGTTGTTCGAGGTTAATGCTTGCACATGTTTGCACGTTTCGCTTTGCTAGCTGTTCAAGTGGTGTGTTTATTTTTTTTTTGTGATTGTTTGAGCAGAATTCCCTAACACTCTGACGTAGATCTTCTGGATATATATATATATAGCTGCTAAATACAGTCCTGTCAACTCTGGGTTCACGAAGTGAATGTTGCCGTGTTTGACCAGAAGCCTCTCACTCCTCACAATGGTGAAGATGCTGATTTGCACAGACTATACAGATCTATCACTCTACTTGCACGGGAATCACAAGGAGTCTTGCAGCAGAATGACCGTTTGGCTTTCTCCAAGGTGAGCACCAGCATTCCTACCTTCCTGAGCAAGTTCATTTTGGTTGGTTTTTGTTGCCACCCAGTGTTGGGTGTAAGCAACACCAGCGCTGCTGGAGGACGCCCTAAAAAGAGACCCCTCCACACTGTCTCGAATGCAAGAATCAAGGAACCGTCCAGTTGCCATTCACTCATGCCTTTTGACCGGGACATTTTGGTATGAGGCCGGGCCGCCATCTGTTTTTTGGTCATGTAGCTTCAAAATGACGAGCTTGGATGTTTGGCAAGCTGGACGTCTGTGTGATTGTTGGGAAGTCTGGACGTCGAGGCTCACGCAACGGCCTTGCGTCAAGACGGCCTTTTCTACTCATTCTGTGAAAAGGTATAGAAGGGTCTTCGACACATTTGAACTACCCCGAGCACGCCTGCTCCAGGACTGCCAGCGAAGCCAACGATGCATCGCAAACCACGCGAGTTCCGTAGGAAAACAATGCGAGTTCCATTGCGAGAACGGAGTGGTAGAGGTTGGATGTGGTCAGACTGTGGCTACGTTGTTGCAGTCGGAAAGCTGTTGCTTATCTACGATAGACAATGATTATTACAGGTCAGAGACTGTGACATGTCCAAGGCAGAGGCATCAAACTTAACACTTTACCAGTCAGACAAACGTTTGCTTCAAGACGCAAGATGCTCCCATTGGAAAAAAAGGAAAAAACGTTGCGGAGGTACATGCCGGTACTGTTACTGAGAACAGCACCAGCTGAGAACACACGATGTGCCAAAAAGATCCGATGCTGCCGGACGTCGTTCGCTTGGACCACACAGCGCAGTCCGTGCCACGATGTCCTGCAGGTGACAGTGACTGTCACCAGCATGCGCATTGGCCACTTGGGCACGAGATCGGGGAGGAGAATGAACGGGGATGGAGAGACAAAGTAGTTGGACTTGTTTGTTTGATTTTGTTTGTGTGTTTTGCGCTTGGAGGACAATTAGCGCTTCTCCCATCTTCTCCCCTTAAAAAGAAAAGAGTTGTACATGCAGAAAATCCTGGATGGCGGTCGCATGGTGACATCCAGTTTACGAGAGAAGTAGAACATAGCAACACCCAAACATGACATGTTTTTGGAAGACACCATTTCTCTCATTTGTTTAAATCTGCGTTGAAGGGAAGTCAACAATACCAGCATTGGAGACTCTAATCAGCGTCAAGCAATCAATCAATCAACATATAATATATACCAGGACCCTCCAAGGGGTGCCCTGTCTGGAAGCCTATAGGTAGTGTGGGGTAGTCCAGCCAGGACACCCCGACTGGAGGGTCCAGGTATATTAGGGATTATATCGTATATATGTTGTTGTGCACACATGCCCACCCAGTCAACGGTTTCCCATGGTGAAACCCACCAAGAAAAACGGAAAATGGGTGAACCATGGTGAACCGACAACTAGGGATCTCCAGCTTGGGAATCAGTATAGATCTAAAATTTGTTCAACAAAATACGACATGTCGTGGACAACATGATGAGTTTGTTCTTTGTCTCAAAGCCCTTACAAGGGCTTTCGTCGTGTCCACCGTCCCGACTTCCTCGTGGAGTCCTTCGGGTGTTCTCGCCGAGGCACCACGAACAACAGTGACCCCATTGTCGAGGGCATTTTTGACAGGAAGGTGGATCCTCATGGGGAGAACTACTCCTGGTGCCCAGGCGAACAAGTCACGCATCATGGAGAGATCGGTTTCCGAGGCGAAAGCATCGTTACATGCATGTTCCCAGTTTGCAGAGTCACAGGCGAAAGAGTCAGAGACTGCAAAAAGAGTCACAAGAGTCACATGACATGTTGGTCAGAGTTGTTGTTGTGTTGTTTTTTTTCTTCCGGCCCTTTTTGAATGAAAGTGATCATTTTGATGCATTTTGTATGGTGTGTATCCCCTTACCAAGCAGAATGTGCCAAGATAGGGTGTCCAATCAAAGAACTTGTTCATTACGCGGATGTTGAGGGGAAGTTGATTAGTCGAGCAGGCTGCACTTGATCCTGATTCGTCCTGATTGATCCTTGTTGAGGAGAGAGTGTGCTTCCTCGTTTTTGCTTCGGTGCTGCCCAATCCGGTCATGCCCAGTTTTCCAAGGTTCTTGGTCCCGGATGAGGACACACTTGAGATGACCCTTGACAAGGACCGCCGGGAGAAGGGACATTTGAAGTCTCACAACTCCGCACAAAGCCGGGAAGGCCACACGATATACTGACTTGAGAACAGATGCCTTTGATATAAAGGGAGAGCTTCATATCACATTACTAGTACTTTTCACGGAAAGTTGAGGGGGGGAAAGATGGTAGAAAGACGGTCCAGTTGCGTCAATCCCATCGCCATCCCGAGATGGTCCAGGACAAATCTGAGGTCTATCAGACTTTCAGCTATGGGACCTTACTGTGGCCACGGCTCTTCAACGATGACATCCCTTTAGGCTGCTTGGCGATTCGAAACGTCCACTCATGTCCAACAGGATGGCCACGACTAGACCGTAACAGGTAGATGGAGCTCGACCTCGATCAACGCCACGCCCAAAAGGAGCAGTGCTTTAGAAGGGCCATGGTTTTGCAATCCCTCCCGCAAATCACCCATTTTGGCCAATGTGATGGCATGGATGGTCCAGGCAAGTGTTGGGATCACCTCGAAACTCGGGAGAAAAACATGAGCAAGGGCTTTGTCAGTGAGACCTACCCTTGATTCGAGAGGGGAGGTATATATATATATATTATTTGTTAGTTATGTCATTTGCCCAACATCCCAGCATGTCACCCTGGACCCACGACCCTGGACATCAAGGCAGGCTGATCTCGACCCGTTTTTGCGAAGTAACGTTCCCCATTGCTCTCCCGTTCACCTTCTTCCTTCGTTGGACAGGAAGAACTCCACCCGGAATCTCCTCGATCTGGTTCAGCGATTGGTCCTTGTTGGTCCGAATCAAACGGTCATGAAAACCAGATGTGCGGTGCACCCACATATGGGTGTGCGGAAGGGTGTGTATTTTGGGGAGGGTCACGGAGGGTATCCAAAACTACGGGTTTGGGGTCTACTTCCAGAGGCTCTTTGGGGGGGTCTCCCTACGTTGAAAACACATGTCCACGTTCCGGACAAAGATGAGTACACCTTTGATGTCCACATGTATGCCAGACACTCCATGGGACTGCCATATATGCCTACATTGACCTCCAAAACCACCCCAATGGGGCGGCATATATGGCACACATGGAGTGTCTGGGCATGCACATATCGACAGCGGAGTACCTGAGTACCTGAGCGCCCAGGTGAAGGGCTTTTTGAAGCTGACCTCACCGATCTGCCGATCGCCTCAGATTGTCACCTTTTTGAGCGAGTCCACCTGGTTGCTGATAGAGTGTCCACCGTTTTTTTTTCCTTGGTTCCTGTAACTGATGTGTAGGTCTAGGCTAGGTGTTTGAAATGAAGCTATTATATCATCAAGTGTCACTCTTCCCGTGATGCTGTTTAGGGGTGTCAAGTCGTGCAGAGTCACATTGTGTCACAGTATACTGTGCATTCCTTCACTGCCGCTGATACCAAACCCTTAAATTCATTCAATACAGGTACCCTTTAGTGGAAAACCACCGGTTCGTAGAGAAAAATGGTTGTCCAACTTCCATGATGGCGAGGGTATCCTTTTGCTCCAGATGTGTCAAATCCCAAGCTTAGCTCGTCAGCCACGGTCAGCGCCAACTAGCGCTATATACCTGAATACTAAATACTGGTAAAGAGAACCGTATGGTGTGGGGATGGCTTGGTTGATTTTGGGAAGAATCCAGCGTTTGTCATGTCACATGACTCGTGATTTTGATTGATTTTGTCTTAACAAGATCATCCTGAAAAGGGGACACTCGACAACTTGGGACGGTCCCAACATCACTAGTTCCGCACAGAGTTCTCGAACAACGTATACATGCCGGCGCAGGGTTTGGATTTCACAGAAACTGCGCATTCTGCACAGGGTTTACTTTGGAAAGTAAGAAGGTATTTGGCTACAACATACCACTTTGAAATTTGGTGCATTTTGGCCAAGTGATGTTTGCTGGAATCCTGCCACTACTGTGGATTTAAGTTTAAAGCGTGATAGGACTTTATCAAAATAGCACCTTCAGGGGTAGAATACATGATACAATTAGCCTGTTTTATGTTTGTATGGTCTTGCACCTCCGGTGCGGAATGTCTTATTTTTCTTGGGAGTCGCCCCTACCTTCGTGACTGTTGTTGCAAGGGTCGTGCTGTTCTAGGAGAAATTGTTGTGTTTTCCTTAAAACAAGCAACAACCAACGAACGACAAGCGAACAAGCCCAGGAACGAACCAGCAAATCAACGAACAAACAATCAAGCAAACAAGACTGAGAGGAAAAACAGGTGATTGTCATGGCTGGACTGCCATGATCGAGGTTTCGATCATCCACCCAGTTTGTTTCACATCTGTCTAAAGTGTTTTCAATGGTGTGACTGGTGTCTACCGGCGGTTCTGACTGCGCTGGCCTTGTCTTTTTGAACCCAAAACGTTAGGACGTGACTCAACGATGTAAGCCTTTGACAGAATCATGATGACTCCAAAACAACCGTTTTTTTTGCAAAGATTAAAGATGGGATGATAATCAGTATCATAGGGTTCCTATTGCATCCATCAAGTGTCCACCACAGCCAGTTTTGTTCCTTTGTTCTTTGTGTTCCCGTCTTGTAACATATGTTGATGATTGTTCTTGCTGTTCTTACTGTTCTTGTTATTGTTTTTTGTTCTTGTCCTTGTTGTTGTCGTTGTTCTTGTTATTGTTATTATTATTCTTCCTCTTCATATTGTTGCTGTTGTCATTGTTGCTGCTAGTGCTACCCTCCCACCTCATTTTGACGTTACTTCGCAAGGCCACCGCAGCTGCTGGAGAAATTCCATACCGACCAGGTGGGTTTTTCTTCCACCATTGGGTGGGGCACAAAACGCGGACGTGTGTGGCATGCCACCCAGCTGCGCAGCAGGGACCCGATGTGCTAATGTGCGGCTGAGAGTGTGAGTGATTTGCTATTTTTCGAAACATTTGTTCAAGACACGCTCTGACATGTACATGCTTTCACTTGTGCAGCTGCCACAAATCCCCTTTGAACTTTGGTTGCCTTTGGTTTCAGTTGAGATCCATGCCCAGCCACACTGTGCGGAAGGAAGACTTGAGCAGAGGATGGATGATTTCATTTATGATTTCCCTGTTTGGCAAATGAGCCAGGACAACGCGTCGAAGCGTGTTCTTTTTCAATCGCATTTCGCAGGCCAGATCTGATGAGCAATCTCAAAGAGAGCGCCAACGTCGACAGATGATGACAGAGGACATTGCTTGGGAGCGACCACTTTGGCTGAAAAGCTGGGGGCGAATGTCGACTCCGAAATCTTGGACCCGACCACCTCGAACAGATGATATGAAATGATACGAAGGGGGGCTTAGTAGCCGGACCAAAGGATCCGGCAGATCAGTTGAGAAAGGCCAACTTCTTCAACAAAGATGGAAGTGGACAACCACCACCTTCGTTGTAGAAGCGCATCATTTTCCAGGTGGTTCGGGCCCTCGGTTCCCACTTCGAATTTTCAGAGCGAGGGTAGAATTGGAGTGATTCAATCCTATTCTGTAAGAGCTGGGACAACCCACTGGATGGTCCGTGTCAGCTTGAGCTGAGAGTCGCACGAATGTATGCCTCATTTGTTCAAACACTTGGAAACAAAGTCTCAAGGCTGTTGATGATGGAACAGTCTTTGTAGATTGAAGATTGAAGAAGGGCACCTTCTTCAACACAGTCGAATCTCGATTTGCTGCGGCACTTCTTCAACATACCGAGCAGATGTTGGAAGAGACACCAATCAGAGTTAATGAGAACCTGCATACATGATGTTAGGTAGAGTGAACACCACGTGTTTGGTATTTGGAGAATGGTCCGAGTCTTTAGGGCCGTGTTCCATTTTTTTCGTTTCAAGGAGTGTATCCCAAACGCCGCCCAAAAAATGGGACTGCCAGTTCGGACTGCCGCCCCATTGGGATGGTGCCAGGGGGGGTCTGTCTGGGGCGGCAGTCCGAACTGGCAGTCCCAGACACGTCGTGTATGCAGTCCCCTATGGCAGTCCCCTATGGCAGTCCCCTATGGCAGTCCCCTATGGTTCCAGTGTTTTCTGGTCAATCTCGGGCCACTCCGAGTCTTGCGAAGGCGGCAGCCGACTCCGCCATCCCGCGATCCGCACCGGCCATCGGATCCGTCGGATCCGGTCGGATCCGGTCGGATCGAGCCGGGCACATGGTTTGACGTTCCGGTTGAGCGCTTACCGAGCAGGTTGACCAGGTGGACCAGTGCTCGAACGACCCATCCCCATGTTTGACGCCTTGATGTGAGAAGTGTTTCAGGTGCACGTTCACGTCAGGCAACGTTCACGTCAGCCCTTCCAGGCCCCTCAAGCAAGCGCTGAGTTGAGTGCAAAGCGCCAAAAATTGACTGGACCCTCAAGCAAACTCCTAGTGGTAAAAGGAGTTAAAGATATTTAAAGGACATTTAAAAACTATGTTTGACCGGACCCAAATTTGCTGCACGGAAGATCACAGAAGTATATAGTTCGTTTCTTCCACCGCACCGGACTGTTCGGTCTCATTCTTCGCTTCCAAATTGTGTGATCGCCGGCCGTCATCTCGTCATCCCCGTCAGGAAGAAGTGGCAGAAGAGACTGCCAGGCACAGTTCTGCATGGTCCCCATCCGAAGCTTGAAGAATCTTGAAGAATATCACCGGACAAAGTCCTCCCACCCCCCCCAGTAATCTTATTTGGAGGGTCTTTCAGGCGCAAAGCCCAGACATCGATTGACTTCGTCGTGCTCACAAAAAAGAATCCGGTCGCTCGTGCTCCGCAGCATTGTCTGCAAAAAAACATCAAACAACACACAGCATTGTCTGCACCTCACGACAGTTACCAGCTTTGCTTTGGGTGGCTGATGGCTGGAGACGACTTGTTTGCTGGGTACCTAGCAGAGTCGGGTCGGTCGCCTCACGCCGTGTCGTTCCACGGTATGCCACCATCTGCAGGGGTTGCAAGAACCCTAGGTACCCTACAGGTACCCCAAGTGGCCCAAGTGATGGGTCCGTCACTTGAAAACCCCTCCTGGACGGTCCGAAAGCGGCAACATCGGGTCCTCGCGTGGAACACCGGGCGCCGCGGCCAGGATGTGGAACGACGAGTTTGCGCGTCATGGCATCCCCCACCGGGTGGACTCCATGGAGGACGGAGCGGAGCACCGCCACGGAGCCGACGTGGATCACCGAAGACGGTGTCACCGTCGGTCCGTCGGTCGGGCAGGTTGGGTGAAGTTGGCTTTGGCTTCCGCACTCAAGACGACCATGTCGCGGAAAGAGGTGAACGTTGATGTGGGAAACGGCGAGTCAGGGAAGGAGTTCTTGTTTGGATCCTGAAAAGACCGTAATGCATCGTAATGCTTTGGTTTTGGTGGAGAGGAGAGTATG